CCTTGGTGTAACCCCATTACAACCGGAAACTGCTCAGAGTCGCCTCCTACTGTCCTAACCCGATTCTTAGCCCCATCATACATGCCCTTAATCGCCATAATGTAGGGAACCGATACACCTTTTGCCTCCAGGCATCTCCAGAGAACTTCTCTAAGAATTACACCCTCAAAAGTGTGATATAGACCGGCTACCCTAATGCAAGCAAAAATTCTTTATTTTAAGTTGAAATTAATATAATGAACAAAATTGTAGACAAACATTGATTTGCAAATGATATTTCATTATTTGCCAAAAACAATGTATGTTATAAGTAGTTCAAGTTGATCTTGACCAGTAAAAAAGGTCTTTTCCTACGTATGTATATTTATGATGACATGTTCGAGAAAATAGATGTCTTTCCACGGGATGGCTCAAACCACCATGACCTAGTAAGGCCTAGTTGCATTAATCCCACGCAAGGAAAGAATAACTAAACTCAAACAAGAACAAAACGAGTCTAAATTAAAACAAAATATGTAATTTGACTTATTACATGACATATATCGTTATGCTTTCCATACTCATTAGTTTACAAGTCATGCCAGCAGTAGTCTTTTGAAAGTCTGAAACTTCAATTGTATGTATGGGAGAAGTTACATTTATTAATTTTTCTTTTCCAATCTCGAACTGCATTAACTTAATTGCTTGTAAAAGGTAAGTGAATTTGATTCCCCTTTAGCTCCAACCATCAAATCATCCATCCAGGTAAAACACCAGTAGCATTCTGTGTTGATGGTTCTATGTTATCCCCTGGCGCTTGATTGTACCTGAATCCGTTACTTTTAGCTCAACTTATAAATTCATAAATAAATATATAAACACACTCATTTTGTTTCCAGTTATGTTAGATCCTAAATTTGCTCGAGTTAGAATTGTGCTACAACTTAAAATGTTGCAAAAAAAGTTTGGTATTGCAACAAGGGCAACATTACCTGTTTGGCATTGTATTGTTGCACTGCAGAGGCTGAAAGAACTCCTGAGGTTGAGCAGTATCCCAATGAGGTTGGTAGGCTACATAGTTTTCATCCAACTGCCAGAAGCATTTCATAGAGAAACAACTTTTAACTGATTGGAGAAAAGAATACCAAATTCCCCTTTACATCATTAGTACACGACGCCCCAAATAAAAAGTTCTTAGAAAAAAGAAAAGAAAACTTTTTGAAGTTTTCTTGTAAAATCGAGGGTAACTGTACTTTTGGTAAGTCAACTGTCAATTCGTATTAGTCCTACATTTTACACTTAGATATGCAGTTTTACTTGTATTCATTAGCTGCATTATTGCTAGAAAGATTAAACAACTCATTTCAAACGAAATCGAGAACAAATGAGTCAGATACAATAGTACAAGGATTAAATGTAATATATTATCCCATAAATTAAAGGAGTTGTAGAGGAAAATAACACATGAAAGTACTACTTTGAAAAAGTAATAATTCTGACATTTTATCCCAATAAATCACATGAAAGTACGTAGATGAAGGTTTACTATTGGTAGCTTTTTCTGGATTTGTCCATATTTTTCTAGTTGAAACCTTATTTAAGAGAGGTTGTACCTTTATCTTCAAGGATCTGTTGATTTCAAGAAGAGATTGTTCCTGTTAAAACAGCAGAAGAACGCATACAATGTCACATGAACAGTTGAGCAATGTTCTATTGCTTACTTTGGGGAATATAAAATACGTACCTTTTGTTGAAGATCAGAAAGTTGATCAAGCATGTTTTGCGTCTGGAACATGTTCAAGAACTTGTTAAAAAAACACACTGAAAATCTTGCAAACTATTTAGCATCTTCTATTAGCGTATAAGCACATTTTAGGAAAATTACCAATTATATCAGCCCATAAGCAAATTAGTATAAATATTAGTCAATTCATAAAATATTACCAATATTAGCCGAATGCTATCAATATTAGTCAATTACCTATTTGTAGACAAAAAAAATTAATTTTTTGCTTTCTTTTGTGTGGGTGTTATTGAAATAGATTGGGTACATCTTAAGCCGTTCGAATCTTAGTTTTGGGATGATTGGTGGAGTTTTGAGGTGGTTTGAATTGAAAATTCGAAATAGAAGATGAACATCAGAAAAGATGGTATGTGTAAGACACTATGTATCATTTATGTATCACATATATATCAAATGTATATTCATGTACATTTGTGTGTGAGATACATACGTGATATACGTTTGATACATGTGTCGCAGAAGAATTTTTTAAACTTGATTAACTTCGGATTTTGAGACCAAACTAGTTCAAATCACCTCCAATCTTGCTCAAATTTTGTACATTTCCTCATTTATATATTTTCAACGAATTCCAACCATACCCATTGAAAAAAATTCTGTTTTAAGTAATTTTTTTTAATATTGTATATCATTAGTAATGAATCTTGACTCTAAACTAATCTAATTTACCTTCAAACTTCCTCAAATTTTGTATATTGTCTCCTATATATGTATTCAATGAATCGCAACAATATCTATTGAAAAAAATTCTTTTATTTCCTATATTTTTTGAATGTTTATCATTGGTACTCCCTCCGTTCCAATTTATGTGAACATGTTTGATTGAGCACGGAGTTTAAAAAAAAATGAAGAGTTATTGAATTTATGGTCCTAAACAAGTCAAAAAAAAGCCTAGAGTATTTGTGTGATTATAAAAGTTTCTCATTAAGGGTAGAATTGTAAGTTTAAGTTAAATAGTTTCCAAATATAGAAAGGGCTCATTCTTTTTGGAACGGACCAAAAAAGAAATAGGTTCATATAAACTAGAACGGATGGAGTAATATTTTTGTTATTTTTGGTAGCATGACTAAAATAGCTAGTTGTTGGTAAATAGTGTCTTTTTCGGTACATTTCCGTAAGATTCCCATTTTAGTATAGAAGGAAGCCATATCTTTTGAGCTTAAATTAATTAAGTGTGCTATTTGTTCTTATCAATTTATTATCTAATATATAGTGCCAGCAATTTGTCGCAGTCGGGCCAATGGTCAGGCCCAACCAACTAGGGCTTATCACTTTGACTCGACCAGTCACCTCAAAGCTTTTGGTCTAAGATTTTACCCCCTTGGGGTTTAATCCAAAATGTGTCAACAGTTGAATTTTGAGTCGGTACCGTACTAAAGGTACCGACTCGATACCGCACTTATTAGGGTTCAGGCTCAATTATCAAAGTATTGTTTGCTTTGCCCTGATATGGCCAAGGATTCAGTGTCTTCAAGGCTTTTGAGACTCGTGATTTTGTCCCTTTGGGCTGTAATCCAATAGATGTCTCAACAGTTGAATCCTGAACTTGCTCTTATATGCCCCTAAGTAGCCATACTACTAAAAGCTGCAAATTTAGCTTGTACAGAAACTGACAAATTAAATAACAGGTAAAAGGTGCATAAAACATACCCTTCTTGACCTTATTTGCCTCAAAGATGAATCCAGTTGGCGTTCAATCTGTTCCAGCTCTTTTATGTTTAATTGTCCCAAGTCTTCTCCAAGGATATGCCTAAAGATTATGAATAATTAAATTCGATCTTATTTAGAACTAAGGATGAGGAATAGAAGAAAGAAGATCTAAAGATCATATATATGATTGTAAATGAAAAGTCAAAGTGAGAGATATTGAAGCACTATTTAATTATATGTGATCACCTTTGAGACTGTTGTAGCACTTCCACTCTTGCTTTCAGCTTCGTATATTCCTGGTAGCTATTCTGTTCCAATAATAGCATAATAGTCAAATAATTAAATCAGTGTGTCAAAACTTTAAAGGACAAATCATATTCATACTCCCCCTCTCCTTTTTGGTCCGTTCCAAAAATAATGATTCATTTTTAAATTTGAAAACAATTTAGCTTAAACTTTCAATTCTACCTTTAATGAGAAGCTTTTATAACCACACAAATACTCTGGACTCCTTTCTGACATGTTTAGAACTACAAATTCCAAAAGCCTTCATTTTTTCTTAAACTCTGTGTCAGTCAAACATGTTTATATAAATTGGAACTGAGAAAATATACTATATTATAAGTGTGAAGCTTCAAGATCATAAGTGAATTATTAAAATATCCCACAAAAACTGAAAGACCATTTTATCCTTTAGTTGAATACTACTTTTATATATTACTTTTGTATCAAAAAGTAAACTTATCTTTCAATACATAATAATGTGTACTATAATCTACGTTGAATCAGATGATTGAGAAGACAGTAGCGTGAAAGATAGCTACAGTAAATGATAAATGTGTATGTTGCACCCTTTCAACTCCTAAATAAAATTGTATTACTCTACAGCCTTTTAATTCCTGATTAGAATTACTTCATCTTCTCTTTTTCACCGGTCATCATCTCTTCTCCCACATACAGAAATCATCTACAAATGCCAAATAAGGTGCATCATTTTCTTTCATGTTACTTTTTACAAGGGTTTTGTTTATGCCATACCTTTCTTTAATTCGTTCCTTCCAACTATTTCTTTATATAGAGTCGTTGGATTATGTTTTAAAATTTTAATATAACTGTCAAATCTAGACAATATTTTATGATACCAAAAAGCTAAAAAGTTTTTGGGATCGAAATAGGAAGAAAATCTAAAGTATTTCTTCGGTATTGATGTGTTTTAGCACAAAATGTAAAGTATTTCTTTGACATCCAAATAAAGAGGTTGAAAAGATTAAATGGTTAACTTTGACAAATAGGAAGAAATTAATTTTATATTGAGTTTATGAGTTCTGAATTTTAGAAAAGGTAACTTACTGGATTTTGAATAAATTATTTATACATATTTAGTAGATTTATATATACAAATATATAATTAGGTACAATATGATTTGTACCTAATAAATTAAAACAAGTAAAAAGAAAATCACTTGTATCTAATTAAATCTTGATTATTCATCTTTGTAGGTTCAATTATCTAATCATCTTGACCTTGATAAATAAGCCAGACGATCCACATTGTTCATCCAAAACAATTTATACTTTATTCTCTCATGTACAATCAAACTTCTCTATAACAACTATACTTGATAACAAGACTTCCTTATAAAGGTTCATTTGGAACTAAAGTTTCATGTTATCCTCTAACATATATTTTTATAACAGCACTTTCCTATAACGGTTAAAAAATATTTAGATAATTATTTTAATAATATTAATATTATTATTTTACAAAAATTATGTACTATATAACTCGGCATACACGAGCAACGCATGTGCCGAGGAATTATTATTAGTTTTTATATTATAAGAATGAAGCTCTTTAGTATGAGATTAATTTACTAAAATATCTTTAAAAAGTTAAACGACCAATTTATCCTCTATCTAAAAGTTAAATTACCTTCCATTAAATGGTTATTTAGCTATTTAATTGGGATCCTATTAAATGGTAAATTATGGCTAACGTATCAATTGGAAAGGAATTTTAATCACCACCTAAGCGTTTTCATCTCCTACCATTAAGCTAATCAGCAGAGTGGTGTTTATTAAACTTTTCGTCTTCTTTGCAGTCAAACTTTATTCATCTGTTATATAGTAATATCATAATTAACCATCACCATTAGAAGAAACGACTGAGGAAAGCTGCAGATTTACCAGGTAAGTTTATTTTCTTTTGTTGCTTCCTAAGAGTATTCATGAAACTATATAATCTTGTTTATGCAAATTTTATGAAGCAACGCTTTAACAATTATTTATCATTTCGGTGCAACAAATGATTAGAAAATTAAGCTATTCTCTATTTAAGTTTACACCTGAAGCTTTCTACAACTTTTAATGAATCAATATGTTGGAATCGAATTTTTGGTAGTCAGGAAATGTTTCCGTTTTCTAGCATTGGTATACCATTTAAAGGAACGTTGATGAGGATAAAGTCGCTGAATTTAAAAATGCTGCAAGCAACATACTATTTTATCTTATGTGCATATAGACTTCTGTTGAACAAAATTCTTGTTTAAAAACCATGTTTAGTACTTGTGTGTTAATTGAAAATGTGTTTGCGTTTTCCTTCTACGACCTGTTTCAAGGAACTGGTTTACATTTTTGCGGTTAAAAGTTATATTCACAGTAACTACGACAGTGATAAATTTTAGTTGCACTTGTATATATTCAACTTTTTGAAGCTTGAATCAAACAAAGGATATCTAAGACGTGCAATTATATGATTTATATACATCAATTGATTTTTTATTTTATGTGAGTGACTATTACTTATCTTTGGGGTTGAGATCCAGTCCAGTACAATTTGATCAAGTATTGATCAATGGCTACCTAAGGTTGCACCACATCATCTAAGTAAAATCTGATGGCTTCTATTTATTTGTATTATATAAATTAGAAAAGATATTCCACCATTATCCTATTCTCTTTCCTACCTCTCTCCTCTCTCTTCACAGATTTAATAAGAACTTGTTCCTCGACGGAATCATATTTCCATGTCATTCCTAGCTATCAGTTTCATTCTTCTTCGGTGATTCATCTTTCATACGAACACCGAATGATTGGAAATGAGTCATGCTATATTTGAAAGATTGTAGTTAATTGGAGAGATAATAACCAATGACCTTCCTACGAACACTAAAGCCTTGATTGTGTTAACATCACTAGATTCCATTGATGAACAAAAGAAATTGAAGAAAACACTAAGGTTTCTAAAGTAGAGAGAGAGGAGAGAGAAGGTCGGTGAGTCTCTACAACATTCAACTGACTTGTGTAATATTATTCTACTTCTTAGTCTATATACAATTACACACGTGTATATGAAATGTACAACTAAAAAATAGAGCTACAACTAGAGCTACAAAATTGTTGGGCTTGGTGGACTGATGGACTGATGCATTAATAGGTCTGTGTTAATGGGTCGTGCAGCTTCAGCTTCAGTTGTTGGGCCTGATCTGCAACATCAGTGTTAACATCCCCCCCCCCCCAAGATGGAGAGTGAGAACACACCAAGCTTGCAAAGAATACCATAGTGAGGCTGATCAGGCAATGCTTTAGTCATGATGCCAGCTAGTTGTGCAGAACAAAATGCAAGGAGATAAGGCCAGAATTCAAACATTCACGCACATAGTGAGAGTCAATTTCTATGTGTTTGGTGCGTTCATGAAATACAAGGTTCTTGGCTATCTATAAGGTAGCCTGATAGTCATAGTAAATAAGAACAGGGCTGCAAATGTGCAAGCCAAGATCAGCCAGAAGTTGAACCAACCAAGAAACTTCAGCAACAGTCTTTCCTCAAGGCCCTGTACTCAGCTTCAGATGAAGACAAGGAGATATTAGGTTGTTACTTGCTTTTCCATGAGATAGAGATGCCACCAAGAGTGATATAGAAGCCAGAAATAGATTTGCGAGAGACAGCACAAGCTGCCCAGTCAGAATCAGAATATCCAAGAAGAGAGAAATCAGAACTACTGGAAAGAAGAATACCTTAGGCTCGATCATTCAGAAGATACCATAGAACATGTAAAGCAACCTGCATGTGGGGCACTTGAGGTTTCTGAAGAAATTCACTTAAGTGTTGCATAGAGAAGGAAATATCTAGTTTGGTATGTTGCAGGAAGTTGAGCTTGCCTACCAATCTTCTGTAGGTGCTGGGATCATTGAGTGGCTCTCCCATGTCCAATATCAACTTGGAAGAAGAGTCCAAAAGAGTCAGAACATGTGTGAAATAATTGTAGTTAAACTCAGCAAGGAGATCGGCAGTATACTTGTGTTGAGTAATAAGATGGTGCTGGGAAACTTCCAAACCCAAAAAATAGTGAATTGTACCCAAATCTTTGATCTTGAACTGGAATCCAAAAAGGATTTCAACTCAGAGGCATCATCCTCAGCTAAGAGGATGTCATCTACATATACATCTAGGACCACTGGAGAATCAGAAAATGACTTGGTGAAGAGAGAATAATCATTGAGCTGGAAATGTAGCCCTAGAGAGCAAGGCTTAAGACAGTTTTGAAAACCACTGTCTGGAAGCCTGCCTGAGGCCATAGAGGGACTTCTTGAGCCTGCAAACCAGTAGTGAAGAGGTTGAGGAAGAAGAGATGTCAAGGCCACGGGGAATCTTCATGTAGACCTCCTCAATTAGGTCACCATGGAGAAAGGCATTGTTTACATCAAGCTGAAAAACAGTCCAGCCTCTCTTGACAGCCAAGGTCAACAAACATTTAATAGTGGTCAGCTTGACCACAGGGGAAAAAGTTTCAGTGAAGTCAATACCTTCCCTTTGAGCATCACCCCTAATAATCAGTCTTGCTTTATACCTTTCAACAGATCCATCCCGCCCTTTGCTTGATCTTATAGACCCACTTACAAGTTATGACTTTCTTGTTAGGTGGAAGAGGAACAATGTCCCAGGTCTGGTTTGCTTCAAGAGCCCTAAATTCGTGTAGCATAGCCTCCTTCCAAACAGAGTTTGATGTTGCCTGCTAGTAGAACTGGAGCTCATGCATATGAGAATTACTAGGAGAAACCATGGAAGGATCAGGAGAAGGAGCAGGAAGTAGGGTAGAATTGCAAACATAGTCATTTAGATAGGTAGGCTTGGCAACAGTTCTAAGGGACTTCCTGAGGATAGGAGAAGTTGGGGAAGGATGAGAAGGAATGTTAGAATAGGAAGGGCTAGAAGAAGGCAGATTGGATGGGACAGGACTAAGAGGAGAAGGACAAGATGCTAAAGGAGACACATGAGGATTGGGAATAAGTAGAGGAATATCTTCAGGAATACGAGGGATAGTAGGTATAGGAGATGGGGAGTCCACAAATGGTCGCACAAAAGAGGAAAAGAAAGAAGAAGGAGGGGAAGAGTTGTAAGGAAAAACATGCTCATGAAACACCACATCTCTAGAGAAGAAAACAGAAAAATTAGAAAGATTCAGTAGTTTGTAACCGTTCTTACCGCAGGGGTAACCCAGAAATAGACAAGAGGTCGCTCTTGATTGGAATTTGTCCCTGCCAATCTTAGGAGTTGTGGCAAAGCAAAGACAGCCAAAAGATTTAAATGTTCATAGGTGGGTAGATTGCCATGTAATGTTTCATAAGGAGAGAGGTTGAGTAAGAGAGGTGAAGACATTCTGTTAATAATGTAAGTAGCAGTGAGGACACATTCACCCCAAAATTTAAGAGGAAGCTTAGATTGAAACAGAAGGGCCCTGACAACTTCCCAAAGGTGTTTGTATTTTCTCTCCACAACACCATTCTGTTGTGGAGGGTGAGGAATAATGGTTTGGTGAAGAATACTCCCATCTCTAAAGAAAGCAGTAACTTCAGCACTACTATCTAATTCAAAAGCATTATTTGACCTAAAGGTATGAACAGATGATTGGAAATGAACCTTGATCATGGATGTAAAAGCTTTAAGGACAGAGAGGGCATTGCTCTTACAAGAGAGAAGATATGTCCAGGTCACTCTAGTATAATCATCAACTAGAGTGAGGAGATACCATAATCCATTATAGGTCTTAGTGTTATAGAATCCCCAAATGTCAATGTGAACTAGTTGAAAAGGAGCAGTAGAATGTATAGAACTATCATGAAAGGGTAACCTTTGTTGTCTAGCCATTAGGCAAAGAAAAGATTGTTTAGAAGAAACTTTATCAGACAAATAAGAAATTGACTTCATTTTATGAAAAGATATATAACCTAATCTTTGATGCCAAAACAAGTCCATTTTATTAATGATGGATGTATGATTACAAGCAGAGTCAATAGCAATAGAAGGTTGATTGAAGCAAGAAGTAAATAAACTTGATTTATTACTAGGAATTGAACTAAATTGAACCATAGAAGTACTAAATGAAGATGGAAACAGTTCAGCATCTGGATGTAGTTAGTATAATCTCCTGGTAGCCTTACCAATTACCAGTGGCATCTTCAGAGAAAGGCCCTATAAAAGACAATAATTTTTGGTAAGTATTGCTATGCAATCTAACTCTGTAATAAGTTGATGAATGGAAATTATATTGAAGTGGAAAGAAGGCACTGGAAGAATATTGACTAATATTATATCATTTCTAAGGTGTAAAGACCTAGTTGATATAACTTTTACTTTATAATTATTAGGTAAAGTAACAAGGAATGATTTAGGTAAAGGTGGAAGGTTTTGAAGTAAATGTTTATGTAGAGTCATATGGTTAGTGGCTCCTAAATTCAAAATCCAAGGTTGTATACCTAGATGTGAAGATGCACATATTTGAGAAATATGGGAATCAGCAGCATAAGCACTGAAGAAACCTACAAAGTGAGCAAATGCAGAGTCTTCTGTGGAGGAAACAGTAGGAGACATCCCAGTAGAGAGCTGAACATTTTGAAATAGATTCAAAAGATGTTGATATTACTCCTTGGTGAAACCATGAGCTGATTTATCAGAGGAAGCAACAGAAGACGTAGGAAGAGAGGCATACAGAATCTCAGTCTAGACACAAGAAGCTGATTTTATGTTCTTAGTTAATTTAAAATCAGTAGGAAATCTATGCAGCCTATAGCATTTGTCCACAGTATGTCCAATCTTCTTGCAATACTTGCGAGACACAGGATTGACATTCTTTTTGTAGTCAAAGTTGACTCTCTGAGTGAAGTTCCTATTGTTGTTGTTGAAAGGAGTAGGAGAAGCCAAAAAAGATGTAGAATCACTAGAAAAACTAGGAGCACGTGCTGCTTCTCTATGGCTCTCATCTTATTATAGGATAGAATAGACTTTACTTATGGGTGGTAAGTGACTCATCATCGTGATGGCGCTTTTAACAGTGGAATATGATTTATTTAACCCATTAAAGAACTGAAACAACTGTTGATCTTCTATGAAATTGGAAAGAGCTCCACATGAACAAACGAGTCCCACATAGGAAGAATTCAACTTATCCCAAAGTGTTCTAAGTTTAGTGAAGTAATTAGCTATGTCTGAAGAACCCTAAGCAGTTGTACTTATCTCTCTCTGCATTTGCAGATATTTTGACCCATTAGACTGCCTAAACCTCTCATTAATGTCTTTTCAGACCTCTTTGGCAGTCTTAAAACACATTACACTAGTGGCAATTTCTCTAGACACAAAATTTATGATCCAAGACTTGACCATATCATTACATCTTTTCCAATAGAGGTAATAAGGTGATTGTGGACTATATTGAGATATTCTTCCATCTAGGATCCCTAGTTTGTTCTTGGCACATAAAGAAGTAAGCATGCTACTTCTCCAAAGAACAATGCTAGATCCATTAAAAGGCATCGAAACCAATTGGCTACCAGGACTGTCCGAAGGGTGGACATACAGGGGATGAGAGGGATCTAGGGAGAAAGGTACAAAACCTCTATAGTTGGAGGTCGTGGTATTATCCACATTATCCTGAATGCTACCCATAGCAGCAGGCTCAGTCAAATCACACAATCACACATATACAATAACCGAAGTGGAGTCAACTTGTGGAGAATAACAATGTCTACACATACGACATGCAAATCACAGAATATGTCTTAAACATGATGAGAATCATGTTGTAAAGTTGTAGATGGGAAGAATATTACCGGCCTTCTAAAATAGAGAAGTAAATTCTTAGTAGGCAAAACCCTAGGATGAAACTCGCATTGAAGTAAAAAATGTCGAGAACCCTAAGTCGATTCCAGCAGAAAATCGAAGAAATACCTAATTTTCCTTCGAGAAAATCACGCTCCAGACTAAACTGCCAAATCAGCGAACCAAACGGAAGAGACGAAAACTCCGGTCAAGGGAAACATCGGAGTGAAGCTTAGGCCGAGATGAAACCGAATTCCTGCTCTGATACCATGTTAACATCGCTAGATTCAATTGATGAACAAAAGAGATTGAAGAAAATCCTAAGGTTTCTAAAGTAGATAGAGAAGAGAGAGAAGGTTGGTCAGTCTCTAGAACATTCAACTGACTTGTGTAATATTATTGTACTACTTAGTCTATATATAATTGCACGCGTGTATATGAAATGTACAACTAAAAAATAGAGATATAAAATTATTGGGCTTGGTAGATTGATGGACTGATGCACTAATGGATATGTGTCAATGGGCTGTGTGGCTTCAGCTTATGTTGTTGGGCCTGATCTATAGTATTAGTGTTAACAAATTGCTTGGTAATGGAGAAGCAGTTTCTAAAGGAAGAAGATGTTGGCCGCAATTTTGAAATCTTTGAATTGAAGGAAATAGAGGAGAGAGTAGGAAAGAAGTAAAGGACAATGGTGGAATATCTTTTCTATTTTATATAATAATACAAATAAACAGGAGTCATCAGATTTTACTTAGATGATGTGGTGCGATCTTAGGTAGCCATTGAACAATACTTGACCAAATTATACTAGACTAGATCCCAACCCGTATCTTTGTAATAAATAAACTACTTACTTCTTCTTTGCAGATGCACACCATGAAATTGACAATGATCTATTATATCCATCTAAATGAAGGTGTATGTTGATCCAATTTCTACATAGCTTTTACAAAATATTACTTTTATTTGATAACAACCTATTAATATGTATCCAGTTATGGAAGGGCGGAGGTTACAATTTCTTATAGATATGACACGAACTTTAAAGTGTGAAGCATTTGTAACTATAGCCGATGTTGCTCATACTCAAATTTGAATTCGGTGTTATTGAAACTTGAAATATCACAAATAAGAAAATTATTAAGTTGAATATTTGATTGCTATGTATTTAATTTGAGCTTGCACTTTTTCCGTTCTAAATTCGTGTAACTCATACACACTTATTCTAATATGATGTATATCATTTTAAGAAGTTTGTACTTATACTATGAAAAACACGTGCAACGCGCATGTTAAAAAACTAGTAAAAAGAAACGAAGGGAGTATATAATTAGTTACTGTTTAATTTTACCTAGTTCATCCAAAGAATCTAACTCGATGAAACTTGAAAGAGAAGGTAAAGATAAACTGTTCCCTTTTTTTTTTTTTAACTAAATAGTAAATTACTAAGTCAGTTACAAATCTAAGGGAGATGAATGAACCTGAGAATCGGTTGAAGATTGGCCAGCTTCAAGGTTGGAGTAATTGCATATGTGGTATCTCTCCAGTGTCTTGGATATACTAGAAAAAAAAAGGCAAATTGTAGAATAATGAGAGTGTTAAGGTAATAATTAAGTAAATAAAAGTGGTGCTCTCTCACTTTTAAATGATATCAGACAAGGTAGAGATTTTGAGTTCAAGTCTCACAGCGACTAATTAATCAGAAAAGAACTTCCACGTGCTCTGGTCATGAAAGAGAATCAAGCCCCGCACATGAGAAGATATATTAAAATAACAATTAAGTACATAAAAATTTACTCTCTCTAATAGCTTAAACTTTTAGATGAAATGGTCATACTTCTACGAGATTTGGGAACATCGTCAAGAAGCCTAGGAGGATGCTTTATTTACTCATAGACAAGAGGTCAAGAAGTGTATTCTTACCATAGTATTAAAAGTAAAGCCCACACCATAATAGTTCAACCAAGAAAAAAACTAACCAAAGACAAAGATATATGAGTTCTAATAGGTCTTCAACGCAACCATAAGTACTTTAGCTAAATTTTTCTAGGACCATCATGTAGAGCATAATGCATGCTTAATTTTATCTCTCACTAATTGTCTTTCTAAAGTGGCTTGCTTATAATTACTTCAGTTTGGGACTTACTTCTCTTACTTTGAATTCCTCGAATCGATTGTAAATTAGCTGTGACAAAATGGGATAAATGGATATGCTAAATATGTTCTACCATTGATAGTTGGAATAACAATGCCTTTTTGCTACCTCTCTGGAAGTCTCATTTATATGAAAAAAATATAATTTCTCATGCTATATTTCGTTCTCACCATGTTATGTCAGTCTTATAGAATGATTGTGAGACCAATAATACTAGATGGGAGTAAATATTGAGCATTTTGTGATCCAAAGTATCCACATTATGAGTGTACTAGAAATATAATATTCATATAGATTATTTTATCATACAATGAACAAGATTAAGAATATCAATTTGACAAAAGAAGGGAAGGTTGTTGACGATGATTTGGTCATGCCCTACGTAGATTTCAGATAGCACAAAGTAGATATGTGTTTAAGACAGAAATAAGTATATAAATTATAATGCTCTCTCTTTTCAGCAGTTTAAGTTTTTAGATGAGATGATCACACACTTAAAATAATATCAGAGCAGACAGATATCAATGAGATGATCACACACTTCAATAGTATATTGCCGTGATGATTTAAGGAACTAAAAAGATACAAGATAAACATAAAAGCACATGAAAAAATCTTAAAAACCTACACTACTTTGAAATCAATACAGACGTAGTAAATACTTAACAGAATATAATGGAAAAAATGATTCATAATTTGGCAATACTAACAAGTTGATTTTAAGGCTTAGTTATTGTTGCTTCACTTACATTAGATCTACATGTGTTGAGTTTGATTAGAGACTTGTATGAGAATGTCGAGATAGATGTATAATATACTCGTACACTAGCTAGTATATCAATATAACTCCCTGTATATCTGTCGATGTGTGCCAAATTGATATACAATGTCCTAAGTAAACTAAAAGCACTTGGGGATAAAACTGGACCTAATTATATAGTATAATAGTGCATCGAACAATTAAATCTTAATTTTAAGAGTTGGTGTCGCGTATATAGATCAATATGTTTCCATGATGTTGTTTTCATAAAAAGAAAAGACAACTAATGATATGCAAAGAAGGATTAATGGAAATAATCCTTTGCAAGGAAGTACATGCAGAAAGAAGTACTAGTGCATCTTTAAATGCCACCAATTTATCACTTAAGAGCCATTGCCTCAAAATTAGATGAAAGCACCATGTATAGGCAAGTCCCTTTAAGAAAGAGACGATTAAAATATTATCTTAGTCAGATAGAAATACTGGAAATCAATTACGTGATGAGATGAGGTCGTTCCTCCTTTGTCGCTGAAAATAGGGAATATGTTCTCATAAAATCTTCCTTCGATCTGATGACCTATCTAGCGAGCAATTCCCGTTCATGACTGAGAACAAGGCAGGAAGCGAGTGTACTTTTATTTGCTTCTTCTCCACCAAGCACGGTAATCTAAGGATAACTATAGGTTGGTGGCTACTTAAGAATCTCCGATTCGATATGCTCATAAAAATTAATTCATTCCAAGACATTATGCTAATTTCATAGGCATGAAAAGGTTAGGTGTTAGTATTTGTTATGTAAGTTGCTATACTACCACAACAACAATAACAACCCAGTAAAATTTTACTAATGGGGTATGGGGAGGGTAGTGTGTACGCAGACCTAACCCCTACCTCGAAGGAGTAGAGAGGCTGTTTCCGAAAGACCCTCGGCTCAAGAAAACAAAAAGACAAAAGGACAAAAGGAGACAATATTAGTATCACCACAGCAATCATAGGAAAATTAAGAACACCATGAAATCCAGAAAAAAGATGCAAAACAAAAGCGATAGCTAGTAAATAGGTCCTGCACTGAGAAGCGAAATAGTAAGACACAACATTGTCACTAGCTATCTTAGACAAAAACCCTACCTGGCTAGTCCCACAATATTACGAAGTAAGGCAAGACTCAACTACCTCCTAACCTACAACTCTAATACTCAACCTCCATATCATTCTATCAGGTGTCATGTCCTCGGAAATCTGGAGCCTCGCTATATCCTGCCTGATCATCTCTCCCCAATATTTCTTAGGCCGTCCTCTACCTCTTCTCGTGCCCTGCACAACCAGCCGCTCACACCTCCATACCGGAGCATCTGGGCTTCTCCTATGAACATGTCCGAATCATCTAAGCCTCGCTTCCCGCATCTTGTCATCAATGGGAGCCACGTGAACCTTCTCCCGAATATCTATCATTCATAATCTTATCTATCCTAGTGCGCCCGCATATCCACCTCAACAACCTCATTTTTGCTACTTTCATCTTCTGGATATGTGAGTTCTTAACGGGCCAACACTCAGCACCATACATCATGGCCGGTCTAACCACCACTTTATGAAACTTACCTTTGAGTATCGGTGACACTCTCTTGTCACACAGGACTCCAGATGCTAACCTCCCTTGAGTTGCTATACTAATTAAGGTAAAAAGAGAATTTCTTCCGGAAAAGCAAAAGCGCTATAAAGATATGATTATGATTTTAAAGCTTGAAAGAAAAATCTCAAGTCTGCAAATGTTATAAGCATTATTGGGTACCATTTTCACAGGCAAAATGCAGAAGAAATACTCAAGCCACAACAATTCTTTTCCGAGCTCCAGCAGCTTTAGATCCATATTATAAGGCTTTTCTTTTGTACTTGTTGAAGAAAAAGTGGAGATAATTAAACGAAGGGAAAATGGTCGAACATCAAATCACGACCAAAGAGCTTTATTTACTTCATCAGTGTTGAAGTTTTGTTGCTTTCAATTACTGCAATAATATTTTTAGCAGAATAAGTTGCTTAGTTTTACGATAAATTTTTAGTAGATTGTTTAAGTTAGTTGAGATATTTTAGGTTTTTTAAATTTTAAATTATGTGAATTTTTTTATTCCTAATTGGCTATTTAAAGCCTTGTTATGCTTAATAAAATTATTGAAAGATATTTTTAATCAATATTTTTAATATTTTTGCTGTCCCATTTTTCAGAAAACCAATAGTGATATCAAGAGCTTCATTGGTCTTACGAGATCTGTGAGTTCTTTCAAAGAACCATTTTCAAACCGTTTTTAACCAATATCAATTTTTAAACCCATTTTCAAACATGGTCTGTTTGAATGCCCCACAAACTTTCACTAGCAAAAACTATTGGATTTGCTTAGTGAAATAAAATCATATCATAAAAAAACCTATGATTTGTTGAATGTTGTAGTGGAAGAACAATCCTTACGAGCAATCCCTGAAAATTCTATCATTGTCCAGATCAATCAAATACTTTCAAAAGAGATTTCAGATAAGACAAGGTCACGAGGGTATTTTTTATGCACAAAACCATAAGACGAAAAAGAAAAAAGAAAAGGAACTGCACTACAAAAGTGTGCAATTTCAGTGATGCTCAAAACAATCCTCAAGCACAAATAATAGAAGCAAGAATTGAGGAGGAACAACTTTAGAATTGCAGCAACTGAACAAAGGAGGAGTGTTGAAGTTTTGTTGCCTTCAGTTACTCCAGTATCTTTTTTAGCAGAATAAGTTTCTTAGTTTTAGGATAAATTTTAATTTTAAATTTCTGTTAGATTTTTTAGGTTTGTTGAGATATTTCAGATTTTTTGAATTCTTGTTATGCAGATTTTTCTGCATATTATGCTCTCAAGTTGACTATTTAAAGCCCTATGTATTTAATAAAAAGTAGAGGCATTTTCAATCAATATTTGTAATATTTTTACTGCCCATCCTTTTTAAAAACCAACAATCTGGCTTCTTGAAATACTAGTTACATTTGTAATTTACAAAGGAAGCCGGGCCAAGAAAAGGAAAAGAAAAACAAATGGTTGCATGCCACTTGGGAATAAAGGCTTCTTTAGCTTATAAACAACAATTAAAATTTCTTTCCATATTACAAATATGAAGGGGAACACCACAAGGAATGACTTTAAAATGATTTTCTTTGTGCTTTTTTTTTTTTTTTGCTACTCTTAACCCTCAACTTTAATTTTATGACATGCAATACGTGGAGAAATTGCTTTCTTTCATTCTTTGTACCACAAATTTCCACGATTTCCACGCCCCATTTTTCCATTACAAGGCCAAGAAGAAAAAGATTTAATTTATGTACTTTACAATGTAAAGCTTTTTTTTTTATACAATATTGTAATTTAAGTTATTATAGCAAATTAATTATCACTATTATTAGCTTACTAGTTACTCCATAATATTTATTATTGAAAGAGTCGTTATTATTAATGAACATTTTATCCTTAAAGTTGAACTTTTCAACAAGAATTCAAATTAATTGGACCATGCGGAATTTTTTTTTTTTTTTTTTTTTTTTTTTTTTTTTTTTTTTTTTTTTTTTTTTTTTTTTTTTTTTTTTTTTTTTTTTTTTTTTTTTTTTTTTTTTTTTTTTTTTTTTTTTTTTTTTTTTTTTTTTTTTTTTT